AATATATGTTCGATAGTAAAAGGTATTTTAAGGACGATAAGTAGTTGTTGGAAGTTTACTCTGGCACTATGATGTGGAAAACCGTGAAGGAGGTAGTGTTCGAATGTTTTTGTCACATGGCAGTGGCTGCAAGGTTCGTTGATGTCTGTTCTAACAACGCATAGCGTTTTTAGCAGGTCCTCAAGCTGAACAAAGAAGGAAAAAAATATTCAGTATTGAATCCAAAATGTGATAATAGGCACATGGTAATAGAATTTTAACTCACATAATTACGACATCAGCAAAAAGTGATATTTGATGTCTCTGTTCGCCTATCAGTAAATAGATACCTGGGAGATACCTCGATATGCTAGGAAGGGCCTCGATAAGCCTATCAGGCTTCATGTCCGGTTTCCGATAATGGAAAACCAAAATAAAGGATTTGGTGGGTCGTATTCCAGGGAAACTTAATATTAAGGATCCGCTCGAAACGCTATGCATGCTAGTGGCTTTACAAGAATGTAAGAACTTTTGTATATAAAAATAAACAATAAATAAAAATTAGCTTTAGCGTTGGAGGTTGCAATAATTTAGTGAAGTCCCCCCTTTAAAAATATGAGAAAGAAAATATATATTTATCAAAGAAAATAAAATATAAACGTAAACTGGTTTATACCTTTTTGTGCCCGAATTCGTAAAATTTTTAGTAGATTAAATTATATAAGTTTAGAGGGATTCTAAATTTAACAATGTTACATGTAGTAGGGCATAAAATTACAATTGCACGTGATTAGTTTTTTTATTAACAAGCTTAGTTATACACAGCAATGTGCTGCTACCCTATTATACATGAAAGATTACACTGTAGATCAAAAACTAGCTATAAATTCTAATATTCCCATCTTACAGGGTGGTTAGTCATACATGGAATCAGGGGAGAAAATACCGGCCTCAATATAAAAACAGATTAACTCTAACTTAAAATCAGGAGAGAACATGAAATGCAAGACTGATCTATTAGCCTCCAATAGCAAAATCTGGTTACAGCACAAGAATATCTTCCAATATGCCTTAGTGTATGAAGTAATTACAGAGCTCAAAGTATCTAATTACAGAGAGAGCTCAAAGTACTCATACCATTTGGTCTGAAGTCATTAATAACAGGGCAATCACAGGTATAGTGTTGGAGAGTATGTCCCAGCTCTTGTTCACATAGTTTACAATTGGAATGTTCACCATTGGGGAATTCATAACCTGCAGCCACCTGCCAAAGATATTGATATCCCAGCCTAATTCTGGCAATTACAATGCCACACTGTCTAGTGGATGTTTTATTCTGACCGTACATATAATCATTGGTACTAAACATGTCGTAGCGCTTTATACTCGTGCTTTCTGGCCTTTGTGTGTCAGTGACTGCTCTTCTGTCTTCTCTAATTTCCTGAAATATTGCGACTTTTACAGCAGAGATTGGGATGCCCATATCCAACTCAATTTCAGGATGAGAAAATCACCCTACATTGTGTCTTATTGAGTGTGAAACTGCTGCTCCTTGTGCTGAACTCTTTCCAAAGCAGTCGTATCCTTTTGAAGGTGAGGACTCAATCCATACTTGGATACAGTAGTCCAGGTTTGCATAAGATACATTATATATATTTCAGAAATATATTAGAATGAAATAAAAGACAATTTTCCTATTCCATACAACACACTTACAAACAAATAAGAAAGAGATTTTAGGAAAATTACTCCTCCACTGTTCTTCAATGCATTAGTGGCAAGTTGTAGTGCAGCTAATTCTGCAAGTGTGGAGCTAAGCCAGTTATTCAGTCTCACACGTGTGGTCTGTGTGCATATGTGGTCATTGTATATTCTACAAGCTACTGCAGTGCCACCTGTTGACATTTGAACAGACCCATCAGCGTAAGCATAGTGCTCGTGAGGCCGTAAATTATTAATAAAGGAATCAATGGTTTCAAGTGTTGTTGCTTTCAGGAGTACTAGGCTTTCCTCGCTCTTGTGTACATAAACTCTTGTATATATAAAGAAAATATGTCCTGTCCTGTCCCATCACTTTAGAATGAACCTTGTAGGTTCGAAACGTTGTGTAAATTTATAATAAATGCAATTATATAATACATTCTACAGTAAATTATTATTTTAGTCAACATCGAACAAATATGCCAATTGAAGAAATCCTTCTAATTAAACTAAGATGCAAGAGCACTAGTCAGGAATAGAAGCCTTAACAAGGAAATAGTCAACACGGAATATGCAGTTCTATTCAATGAAACGTGTCTATATGTGTAAAGAAGTCAACAAATGAAGGGCGCGGAGTTGTACGAATTAACAAAGTTATCCCACATGCAGTGAATTGAAAGAAAATGGTTTCCAACAGTTTCAATGAATAATATTAGCCCGAACTCTAGCAATTACTGTGGCTATGATAACCAGTGATATTTGAATGTGATCACCAGTCCTACCTGGCTGTGATTACTAGTCATTCTTGGCTGTGATTACCAGTCATTCTTGGCTGTAATTACCAGTCATACCTGGCAGTGATTACCAGTCATTCTTGGCTGTGATTACTAGTCATTCTTGGCTGTGATTACCAGTCATTCTTGGCTGTGATTACCAGTCACAGTTGGCTGTAATTACCAGTCATACCTGGCTGTGATTACCAGTCATTCTTGGCTGTAATTACCAGTCATACCTGGCAGTGATTACCATTCATACCACATTCTGTCATACCTATATCCCCGGGAGGTCAAACTAGTGACCCTCCACAGGATACAACCCCACAACAGTTGCATAACTCCCAAGTACCTATTTACTTCTAGGTGAACATAGGCAGTAGGTGAAAGAAAACGTGGCAAATTTTCTGTCCTGCCCAAGAATCGAACCTGGATCCCCGATTGTGAGTCGCAAAATAAGCCAACTGTACTATGAAACTGGAGCGCTACCTTACTGTAGCATCATATGTTAAGAAACGCATCACTAAAAGTCCTTGGGGGAGAAAAGGAACACAGGGGACATGATCACCACATACAAGATACCGAAGTGAATAGACATGGTTGATAAAAATAACCTCTTTATAGCGAAAGAAACTAGGGGAAGATGACATAAGCTGGAAACGCAACTAAATCGAAGAAATTTGAAAAGTGACTCATATCTTGTACGAGTGGTCAACAAGTGGAATGTACTGAATGAAGAAGTCGTGGAAGTCACCTCTATCAGCAACTTTAAGACTAATATCGAAAAAGAAGATTAATAAGAATGTCAGTAAAGTTCAAATTATAATGCAACAGGCACAATAAGGCTAGAAAGCGGGGCGTAACAAGCTAGACTTCATGTCCCTGTAGGTAGTCACTGTCAGGCGAGTACTGGCAACTGTTAACACGGGTACAAGTCACTTCGTACATAACACAATTCGCCAACGGGTTTTGAAATCTACCTAACCTAACCAATCTCAACCCAACTAAACCTAACTCAACCGAGCCTAATACAGCCTAATCTACATCATAGAATAACAATACATACGTTTTTACCACACAGAAAACGAACATCGTCGAATTGTCTCGTGTCCGATATGCAGTCCGTCCTCCTAAAATTTCCCAACGTCAAGAAACTGCCGCACTAAAGTGCCCTTATCCTAACCTACCAAAGGACCCAAAACAGAAAAGGGGACAGTATGTCAATTTCGCGAGCAGCTACCATTTTCTAGTACGACAAATGTTGTGCTTAGGTAGAGTATACGTCAAAATGTGACGTTCTATTAGGAGGACCGGTTGCGATATGACCGTACCCCGTTAGACTTAGAGTAGATATAGGAAAAGTTGGAGAAAAAGTGACAAGGCTTGACCCAGACGGACTCCTGGTTCAACCTTAATGAGCGGACGTTTGAGCACCTGCTCTGCCTGGGGCCGCCGGAACAGGTGACGCGATTTACCTAAGTGGGTCTGATACTGCCATCGGGCATTCTTATTCAACTGCCGGCTGGTTACGACGCCTGGGGCACTTATTACTTGGGGGTCACAGGGAAGTTTATAGATTTCCCGTTTCTGGCTGGTTCTTCGGGCGAAGAGATGATGTCCGGCTCGACTTGGCCGAGAGGGGCCAAGTTGGTGGGTTCCTAGTGTGCCCTCAGGGCGTCGGTGGCTGGCTGCTGCAGTGTTGGCACTGGAAGATATTTTTGTGTATTTGCGATTGGATACGAGTACCTATTTACTGTTAGGTGAACAGGTCATCAAGTGAAAGAAACTCTGCCCATTTGTTTCCGCCTCCGCCGGGAATCGATCCCCGGGCTCTAGGATTACGAATCCCGAGCGCTGTCCACTCAGCCGTGTGTGTGTATTCACCTAGTTGTGCTTGCGGGGGTTGAGCTTTGCTCTTTCGGCCCGCCTCTCAACTGTCAATCAACTGTTACTAACTGCTATTTTTCACCCCCCTCCACACCCCCACCCCCAGGAAGCATCTTCGTAACAGCTGTCTAACTCCCGGGTACCTATTTACTGCTAGGTAACAGGGGCATTCAGGGTAAAAGAAACTTTGCCCATTTGTTGCAGCCTGGTCCGGGAATCGAACCCGGGCCACAGAATTACGATTCTTGCGCGCTGTCTACTCAGCTACCAGACCTAGATAGTGTGTGTGCTCACCCATTTGTACTCACCTATTTGTGCTTGCGGGGGTTGAGCTTTTTCTCTTTGGTCCCGCCTCTCAACTGTCAATCAACTGGTGTACAGATTCCCGAGCCTACTGAGCTCTATATGTGTGTGTGTGTGTGTGTGTGCGTATGTGTGTGTGTGTAGGGGGAGAGAGAGATAGGGTGGGAACGGCTTGTGTGGGGGATGCCGTAAGTGTTGCAAAATAGATATCCCGGCTGCCAACACTTGCCGCGGGCGGGCGGGGGGAGGGGCAGGAGAGGGTGGCGGGGACAAAATGCGTTGGCTGGTGGCGGAAGCACAGCTGCGAGAGGAACTATTGATCTGGTCGAGGCACAGCGTGTCAACCCAACTAAATCACCTGGGAATTATCTACTCCGAAGCTGGCTGGGTAAACCTGTATAGACTCATGCCATGAACCCTCCACTCCTGCGGGGTTCAGAGTATACTCCAAGGTTGTGTGTGCAATGTTCTTCATGTCTAAACCATGTAAGTTGCAACGAGATATTTATAAGCGGTGGTGTCAAATACTAAGGTGCATCGCAGTGATTTTGCAAATGAAAGTGCATTTTACAGAATTAAAATATAGACAATATATTTTCGCATATTCTGAAATTTCATAAGGGTCTGGAGGCAACGCAATTTCTGATTGTTAAAGTTGGTGGAGTGCGGTCAGGTAACGCGGCACCACCGCGCTCGGTCACGTGGGCCCTTGTGTGTGTGTGTGTGTGAGTGCTGCTATGGCGACGCCGACGGTTTGATACACCTCCTGCGATTGGCTGAAACCCTAGTGGGTCCAGTACGCCCCTTCACATTGGTTAATATTACCTGACCTCCACCCCTATTCCCCACTTGGTGGCGTCACAGTGGGAGACTCACCACTCTACCACAGTGGGAGACTCACCACTTTGGGATGGACGGTAGAGCAACGTTCTTGCTTTCTGCAGGTCGGTGTTCAATCCCCGACCGTCCAAGTGGTTGGGCACCATTTCTTTTACCCATCCCATCCCATATCTTTATCCTGATATCCTCCCAGTGCAATATAGTCGAGGTGGCTTGGCGCTTCTCCTCCCTCACCACTCCATCACAGTGGGAGACTCACCTCTCCATCACAGTTGAAGATACACATGTGATGGAGTGCAAAAAGATAAATGAATTTAGAAACAGTTCTATGAGATCACCCCTTTCCAAATTACTGTCCCCTTTTCCCATCCAAGAAAATGATTAAATAAGAACCATTGCTTAGACAGGAAGGGAAGTACAATGACTTAAGCCAAATTGCTGCATTTGGCAGGCAGTGAGCGCTCCCTTTCCCAGATTATTTACAGTGATGGCTCCTTGCACCAGTCCCATGTTGCAGCTGGAAATGCAATTGTTGTGACAGCGAGAGATGGTTCCTACTCCTATAAGTGTGGAGCGCGTATAAATAACTGGGCCTCCACTCTTCAAACAGAATGGGTTGCCATAATGCTTGCACTCCAGCGCGTATATAAGTCCAAACTTGGCATGCTAATTTTAAGTGACCCATTGTCATCCTTGACTGCCCTCAGCTCCCCAAGGCACAACTGCGACAAGCCTGTGTCTGAATCTAGACACATATATAATGAAATAATCAATGATGGAGTCAGAGTTTTTATCCTGTGGATTCCTTCCCATATTGATCTCCGAATGCATGATAGAACTGATGTGTTAGCCAAAACTTTTGGCTAACTCCTAAAATTCCTTCATAAAGAGGGAATTGATTACCATCTTGGATTGCCATTGAGCAGCCTGAGGGCAGTAATATTCCGGGAACATCAACAAAATATCGTAGACTTGAGACAAAGTGAAATTCACACCAGTTCATCTATCATCATTTTATTATGCAGGAAGAACCGCGCGTCTATGGGTCATCCAATAAGGTTAGCAGACTTCTAGATGTTACCACTGCTAGGCTTAGGCTCGGCTACAAGTACGTCTGGGAATTTGTAACATCTGCTGATGTAGATCTGACTAAATGTAAACTCTGTCAGCAGAACTATTCGGATACTTTGCGCCATTATATAATGGAATGTGAAAATATAGCGGAATTTAGAGATAACACCATCAATGGGGTCCAAGAAATGTGTAAGTACTTCATTCATAATGATGTACTGCCAGAAGTCTTAGCGAAGTACCCAAAATACGCTTACTGTAGGTAATTCATGCACATGATTGTAAAGCTGCCGACAAGTTGGGTGGGTGTGGAGCAAAACTAGTAACTGACTCACCATAGATGTAAAGTGCCTTGTACAGTGACTATTGTGAGCCTCTTTTTTAATTGCTTAGCTAAATGTATTTTGGGTTTCAGATCCCATATCCCATGGGATATGGGATCTGGGATCATATGGTACCTGGTTGATACCTGGTTGATGGGGTTCTGGGAGTTCTTCTACTCCCCAAGCCCGGCCCGAGGCCAGACTTGACTTGTGAGAGTTTGGTCCACCAGGCTGTTGCTTGGAGCGGCCCGCAGGCCCACATACCCACCACAGCCCGGTTGGTCCGGCACTCCTTGGAGGAATAAATCTAGTTTCCTCTTGAAAATGTCCACGGTTGTTCCGGCAATATTTCTTATGCTTGCTGGGAGGACGTTGAACAACCGCGGACCTCTGATGTTTATACAGTGTTCTCTGATTGTGCCTATGCAAAGACTAAATGCATAGGCACAGAAATGGTTCAGGATGGGTTTCAGATCCTGAGCCCATTATGTGCCTCTGTAACCTTTTCCACCACCCCATACCCCCACAATGAGTATGGGGTTCATTGGCGCCCACACGATGAGTATGGGTTCGACTACCGCTCACAGAATGGGAATGCGGGTTCACTACCACCCACCGGATAGGTTTGTGAAGGATAATACGTGAACTAAACTGCGTGCGTGCATCTAAGTCCAAACGGTGGTAGACTTTCAGAGCATTATGGGAACCGCAATTTTGGCTGCCTGTTGAAGAGACGCTTCTTCACCCGGTTGGGGCCGGCGGGCCGGGTGGTCCTGGCCCAAATCAATGAGGTGTCCACGTGAGTTATGACGTCAGACTGGAACTTTGCTAGCCGTACCACGTGACTTATTAATGGAGGCTTTAAATTCCTGCTCATATTCCATTGACTTTTCTAGACGTCTTCAAACACAAACAAATCATAACTTATGATTGACAGTTGTCAATGTAGTTTTTTTGTTGGAACTGAATCTAGGCGTCATAGGGAGTAGTGATTCCCTGAGTGGAGGCGGCGACGGTAGAGGTGGAGATGGTAGTGGCGATGGAGGCGGTGGAGGTGGTGCCGGTGGAGGTGACGGCGGTGGTGGTGGTAGTGGAGGCGGCGACGACGGAGGGGGTGGGGTGGAGACAGCGACGGTGGACGTAGGGGCAGTGGTGGGGTGCAGGCGGCGACGACGGAGGGGGTGGGGGTGGAGACAGCGACGGTGGACGTAGGGGCAGTGGTGGGGGTGCAGGCGGCGACGGGTGCGGTTGTTGGGGTGGGGGCGGTGAAGGGGGAAAATTTGAGACAATTTTTGTGTGCATTGAACACTTAAAACCAGCTCATATAGCCACGTATGACCACGTGTGACCAACTGAAACAGAAGACTACTGGGGAGATGTTGTCAGCAAGTGTGGAGTACTCGTCTGGCGTTACAGTCACATTTAGTCTTCACCAACAACAGTAATTTGGAACAGAGTTTCCAAGAATCGTATTATTTACTCAGATTGTAATCAGAAGCGCATTCAGCATCAGGCTAGGATGCCTCCCGCTAAGGCTGTGGTGCGGAAAGTCCCAGTCATTATCAAAAGTTTTTGAAGATCTAGCTGCGGCCTTAATAAACACCCTGTTAAACTCTGTACCGAGCAAACCCAACGTGCAAATCATTAGCTATGCTGATGATATAATGATACACACCACTGGGTATGCTAACACGCAGAACACTCTTAACTCTATTAGACTCATGTTAGGACCTAGCTTTAGTCATCTCAGCAGAAATAGCAAAGATACTAAATCGGCGCCCACCCAGGCAGGGAGGACCTGTTCACAGATTCAAATAACTTGGCCTTGAAGTACTGACTCTGTCGTCAGCATAAAGAGAGAGGCTAAGAGCTCTCAAGGTTGTTGTATGTTATCACTCAGCCTATGGTACAGCTCTTTAGTGGATTATGCTGCACCTCTGCTTGCTTTGATGCCTGAAAGAAAGCTTAACTAAACTAAACCTTTCTCCGGCAGGCTAGAGAATATGGGATGCGTGTCAAGGAGACATGGTAGTTCCCGTTCATGCAGTCATAGGTCAAAGACAAAGGTCATGAGGTCATAATTACAATAGAATTTCAATGTTTAATTGCATTACAAGAAACACGAAGGAGGAAGGGGGTTTCTCTGCGTGTTTTTTTCTCTTCTACTAATTCTGCATTATTAGTTTTTTCATCTGTATGTTTCTCTACACGTAAGAAATATTATTGTCCAGCATCATGAATGTTGGCGGTGGGGGTAACGATGTTCACGGGGGACTAGACATCTCTTGATATTGTATGTTCCGAGGCCTAAACCTCGACTAGATGAAATAGTTGACAACATAACCGAATGGGTTCAGGCATGGGGTTTCATGAGGCCATGAAGACTCTCCCATGCTTTTTGTTGCGTGGTGGTACAGTGGTACAGCACTCAGCTTTGTATCACGCGGGCGGAGGTCACGGCACTGTGCACGTTTCCTGGACGTCATGGGTTCGAATCCTGGCCGGGTCATATAGTACATGACCCCTCATGTCTGGTGTTGACAACGGCTGTAAAACGGCCGAAACGTTCATCTTCCTTTCCAATTTCTTTGTGGATTTTCCGCATACAAATGATCAGTGTTTCGTGATCGTCAATTGCATATATATATATATATATATATATATATATATATATATATATATATATATATATATATATTTGAAAGAACGTATATGTCGTATATAGATACTGTCCTAAAATTGGCTCCCTCTCACTTTGCACCTTCAAGATACCGTAAACTTGAGGGTTGGACATTATTCACTTGAGATAGTAAGTGGGGGAGCTTGTACATGTTGTTATGGTGGTATGTTCACTCGCAGGATGAGTGACGCTGGCAAATAAATTCGCCATTTCGGGCCAAAAATGAAATGAGGATTGAGAGGCGATACAAAAGTTGCCACAACATTACCCTCCCTCCCTGAGGCCGCTAGAACTCTCCCCTCCGAGGTCACCAAACCCCCTCACATGTGATGGTCAGGCGTCAACTTCCGCCAAAGTTGTTATCCATATAAGTTCTTCGTCTAGGATTATGAATAGAATATGAATTATGAATAGGTAAGTATATATATATATTTGCAGTTGTAATCCTCGATATTAATAGCTCGTACGTGTGACTTTATGGCAGAAGAAATCTATAATTCATTGAATTGCAAATCAAATTTGATGTTTACGTTAGCGATCATTCTGTTTTACCACCGCGGAGCGTTCACAGC